TTCTTCACAATAAGGCTTTCAAATAAGTCATGGTTGTACGGCAGTGAAGCATCGGTGTTGAACACTGATGTCATGCTGTCGATGAGGATGATGATGACACCACCTTTTTGTGTGGAAGCTTTTGGAGAGCTTAGCGTAGACTCTCACCCACCCACCAGTATGCGACTATAGGGATCGGGTTATGTCAACAAACTTCTGAAGCATGCCCTGTCGAACAAGTGTGGTTGACAGCACTGACCGATGGACAGAATCGAACGCACCCTTGAAGTCAATGAATATCAAGATTGTGCGTCGTCTGTATGTATGGCATTGCTCTAACTCGACGGAGTATGAAGGTGTGGTCAATACAGTCTCTACCAGGTCGAAATCCCGCTTGATTCTCATGAGCCAAGGCTCCGCGTGCCACTGTAAGACGTCTAAGAATCAGAGAAGGCTTATCACAACAGGAGTCAAACCAACACCCCTGTGGTTACTACATTCACTGTGGGTACCTTTTTTGAAAATGGACACTACTATCGATTCACCTCAGTTGTCTGGGACGGTCTCTTTCTCTCAGATAGACTCAAATAAGCTAGACAAGCACTGACTGAGAAGTCCAACCTTATCCTTGAACAGGGCAGGTGAAAGGTCGCCAGGACCAGCAGAACGATGATGCTTCAGTAGAGAAGTACGCTCGGACACTTCTGAGACTGAAGGCGGCTCCATATTCACGGTCCACCTTTCTGTCGAAGACCAGGAGTCTGGATCGGAGTAGCAGGTGGCCAGCTGAATTGCTTCCCGAAGTACTGTGCCCGGCGGTCCAAGCGTTCTGCTTTGCTGCATATCAGGGAGACATTCTGGTCCCTGATTATGTTGCTTGTTCTACCTACCTGGACGTTCATATCACTAGCTTTTAGTCTGCTGTAGGAGGGCACTTAGAGCGTCACAGAAACTGTCCTTGGCAGATTCAAAGCTAAGGTCAGTTGAGGAAGTAAGCAAACACAATAAACAAGGTTCGATAGACCTCACTTTCCCCATATTCTCTCATATATTTTTGCAAACGAACCGCTCGGTCGCTCAAAACAGTACCTACCCCAATCATAACCAGCTGCAGCGGCCTCTGCATCACTAGAAGTGCGCAGTCGGAACCCGGAAGAGAGCGATGGTCAGTAAGTTCGATCATAATACTTGACTCCTTCGCCCTTGCTTCTAGAACACAACATAGATCAATGCAGAGGGAACCCAAGATACGAGCGAGCACCATCTGTTGACCTGCTTGCTTCAGTGTGCGAACGCCAAAGGCGGTTAAGTAGATAGGCTTTCAGGGTTTGAAAACAGACTTCGAAATGTTTAGGGTTGTGACTGAACTCAGGCGTACAGAAGCTGCACTGGAGTGTGATGCAGTGCGAGCAAAACGGTTAGTCCTAGGGCTGGAACCTGTGGAGAAAGTATTCAAAACTGGTTGGAGGGTGTAAGACGGAAATCTTGAAAGTGTAAGAAGGGAGGCGCTAGCAGTAGCACGTTTTCGCTTACCTGTTCTGCTGTACGCAGCAAGTAAGGCTTCCCGGCTGATGGCACCACGCAGCGGCCGATGTGGCATGAGAGCATTGTTAGCTGTAAATGTCCCAGTAAGATAACGATAGCGGCTTTAAGTTACCAGACCGTAATCATTTGTCGAAATTCCCTATCAAATGATGTGCACGATTTTTTCCTTAGCCTTGCAATCGAGTATTTCAGGCCATTTTCATAATAACCCCCAGTAAGAACAGGTTTACCAGCCCATACGTCTCATTTTCATGTGCCAGTTGGTCGGCCAATACATAACAGATTCGAAGATTGCGGAAATACACGGGAAAATACCGGGGAAATAGTAGACCTCACTTCATAGTTGCATGGGATGGCTAAAACGTATGTTAACCCTTTCTGGTAACCGGATAAGTCCCATAAACAATTCAAGAGCGGGGGCGGACACACCTAAGGCTGGTTTGCGAGATTAAGAAAACATAAACAACGATACAGCACGCCTTGAAAGCACCAAGACGAGCAGGGCTTCGTAATAAGGCCCAAGCCCACGTACGACCAAAAAAGGCCATATTCCAATCTCAAATCACATTGGTTGTCGCATTCTATCAACAGGATCGTCTTACATGCTACACAGACCAAGGCGAGTGGGCCAAACAACACTACTTCTAACAACCCTCTTCCTACTGCACATATACGTTTCTCTCCCTCTGCACAACCCGTTGCTAACATCATCGTACGAACATTTTTAGGGACCTGTAGATTCGTCTGCTGCCCAACGTCGACAACTACAATACATCTAGGCTTAACATGGCGGAAGGATTTTCGAAACTATTCAAACCCCGACTTTTGAGCCGTTGGACAGTTGTGAGCACTGATAATCGAAACCGAGCTCGTAAGCTGCACTCGGTTTCTGCTAATGTATGTCCCGGAACTGAAAAATTTGATTGTAGAGCCGCCTAGCCCACTGGATCCGCTCGCCTCCGTGTGCACAACTGCCACACATACAGACGACCCAAACCCTCACAAAGAGACCGGACCTTACCGTCGTGTGACAGTTTGTGTACCTCGGTCGACGACCCATTGGGCTATGCAGGGTGAGTCCGCGGAACACCGAGTCTCTCATAGCAGGTTGCTCAGTGGTTAGAGGTCTAACGAACAGAAACCCCAGGTAAGGGGTTGAAACGTGTGGCGACTTGTACCGTAAGAACGGTCATAAATTTGCATTTCCCTAATCGTCCTGTCGACTAGGTGTGGGCGCCCTGGCAGTGTCCCAACCCACATACAACCATGAATTGCGCACAAAATAATCTCATGCCACGTCGGCCGTCGCGTGATGCCAAAAGCCTTATTTGCCTTACTTGCTGCATACATCAAGGTGGGTAAGAAAGACA